CTTCTGTTCCGTTTGATGTTCCATCATATCGGGGAGGAGGAGCTGGACGTGCTGACGTAGCGCCGGTGCGGGTAAGCACACAGTGGCAGCACTACTGAGAGAGAGGGGGAGAGTAGTCCTCACCCTTCACAGCCTTTACTCCTGTGCTGGACGCACCCACACCTCCCATATGCTACAGTAACAACACCAACATATGATTCAAAATGTATGAAATAAAAGGTCTTTAGTTACCCTTTTAGTAAAGGTCTTTAGTTTAGTTTAGTTACCGCGTCTAACAGCCTGGTTGATCAGTCCAGCAACCAGGAGGCCTGGTCGACGACCGGGCCGCGGGGACACTAAGCCCCGGAAGCACCTCAAGGTAGCCTCAAGGTACCCCTCAACACTTTCAGATGTCAGTCTCCAGCTTGCGTTATACCAAACAGAAATGATATCATACTAATATTATTTTTCCACGTGTTTCGTAAACTCTCACACTTGAATGTTAATGAAAATAATACGTGTTTTTCCTGTGTGTTTGATTTATATTTACATAATGTCGTATATGTGTGTTCATTCATTAAATTCAGAGTTTAATTTGATCGAGTCCCTAAAGTTTTAATAACATGTAGCGCATACAGCAATACATCATGTGTATGTGGTATGTAGGTTCATGTGGGCGGCACGGCACGCAAGGTAATACAAACAGCATGGTGATATGCTGTTTCTACAGACATATGTATGTCTACATACAGACAGACAGCATCTGTCTGTCTGTATGTCTGTCTGTGTCTGAATCTCTCTCGCTCTCTCTCTAAAACACATCACAGAGAGAGAAAGAAAACAGTTATGACCTATGAGCTGTGACATTCTGCTCTCGGCGAATACTGACAACCTAAGTATACGTACGTACATACATACACACACATATACACATGCATGCCTCAGGGCAGGCTTCACCCGGCCACACTGGGGCTCACAGCCCACGAGGCTTCCATATTGGATGAGAATGTTACACGCGCAAGAATTTCACACATAAATAAAACAGTCCTGTTTTCCTGCGACTAAATATGGTTTAAAAAATATACAAACACAACAGCGCCTGTTAATAAAAATTGACGAGGGATTTATGGCGCAATACTGACTCTATCCTGCTTCATCAGGCTTATGATGCAACACTAGCTTGAATCTGCTTCACCAGGCTTATGACGCAGCCCTGGATTGACCCTGCTTCATCAAGCTCATGACGCAACACTTGTTTGAACCTGCTTCACCAGGCTTATGACGCAGCCCTGGATTGACCCTGCTTCATCAAGCTCATGACGCAACACTAGCTTGAATCTGCTTCAGCAGGCTTATGACGCAGCCCTGGATTGACCCTGCTTCATCAAGCTCATGACGCAACACTTGTTTGAACCTGCTTCACCAGGCTCATGACGCAGCCCTGGGTTGATCCTGCTTCACCAGGCTTACCTTGCAATATGAGATTTTCTTGCAAAATAAATGTATTCTACAATTTATCTTGCAATATTGTACATAATTGTCTTTTAAATTTATGCTATTTAATGTGTGTTGCGCGGCAGATTTAAAAGAGCTTGAGGTTTACTTTGCAACTTATAAGCAGTTTTCTTGCAGTATCTGGCTTGCAGTACGGCTTCTGGCTTGCAGTACGGCTTCTGGCTTGCAGTACGGCTTCTGGCTTGCAGTACGGCTTCTGGCTTGTAGTACGGCATCTGGCTTGCAGTACGGCATCTGGCTTGCAGTACGGCATCTGGCCTGTAAGACTGGGGCTGCTTAAAACCGGAACTAAGCTTGCAAGACAAGATCTAGCTTCCAGTATGGCATCTGGCCTGTAATAAGGCATATTGCTTGCAAGACGGGATCTGTCTTGTAAGACGGGTCTTTATTTACAAGAATTGGTTTATCTTGCAATATAAAGTTCATTTTACAACACGTAGTTAATCCTTGCAACATCGCTTATTTTGCAACTGTATTATCTTGAAATATGGAATGTATTTTGCAATACCAGAGTTTATTCCAACATTATGTGGTGACCTGGAAATATAGAAAGGGTTATTTTGCACAGGACCAATATGCCATGCAATCTTGGGGAGAAAACAGTCCCGTCTAACATGGGGAGAGAACGGTCCCGTCTAACATGGGGAGAGAACGGTCCCGTCTAACATGGGGAGAGAACGGTCCCGTCTAACATGGGGAGAGAACGGTCCCGTCTAACATGGGGAGAGAACGGTCCCGTCTAACATGGGGAGAGAACGGTCCCGTCTAACATGGGGAGAGAACGGTCCCGTCTAACATGGGGAGAGAACGGTCCCGTCTAACATGGGGAGAGAACATTCTAAGTTTAACATTCATAGAAGACAAGAACGTTCAAAATCTCCTATAATAGCAAGCGACAGAGGACTGAGTAAGTTCGAGACTGAGGACTAAAACGGCACAACCACCGTAGCTGGTCTCGAGGTCTCTGGGGGGGGGGGGGACACCGTCTCCTACGACATAAACCTGAGTTATGATGCCATTTTTGGCCTCCTCCTCCAATACCACGGAAGCCCTAAATCCCAAGAGGGTTTTATTTATACGCTCTCTCGACTAGGCACCCTATAGTGCCGAGGCGTAAAACGCCACCTTGGTATGACTGCAGGTGACGACATGTGACCCGAGGCTGCCGAGGTGAGCCAGGAGGGCGCTACGGGCAGGTCGCCTCACCAACTGGAATTCTTGGGCGAGTGGGGCTGCCGGGCAGGGGGGGATCTACGCCCCCTATGATGACGCTAGTGGGGGGCCCAGGAGGGGCAAGGGATAACCCTGGTCGCTGGCAGGGTGGAGGCTCCTGGTCGCTGGCAGGGTGGAGGCTCCTGGTCGCTGGCAGGGTGGAGGCTCCTGCTCGCTGGCAGGGTGGAGGCTCCTGGTCTCCGGCAACTCACAGTTCAACAGCAACCGCCAGATAACTGAAAAAGGAGGAAGTCTGCAAGTTCTGGCTCTCTCAGGGTCCACACTCCTGCCAGAACACAGCAGAGTCAAGAACAAGAGTCTTACACCACATGACCCTCAGGCTAAAAAAAAAACAGGACCCCCAAGAGCTGGAGTTCTGCAAGAACAACTTCGTCCGTCTATCAGGCTACAAGGAAACAACCTGTCATGACAATAAAGACATCTCCGTTAACACTCCAGGGATACCAGCGTACAAAACACGACACAACGTTGGTACACTGACCGTCTGATGAACGCTGTACTCAACACTGAGACATTAGGGAAAAAGTGATTTGTTTTAATGCGTATAAACTGGGCGCTTTCTGGAGCTTGGATACGGAGGATAGCCATCACAGTGTGGTGGGAGTGTGTCAGCGAGCGTGTGCGGTGGAGTGGGGGGCGGAGAGGGTGAACCCAACATCATAAACACTTAAGACAACTCCAAAAGAGTGAGGGAGAAAGAGCCACACAGACGAGGCTGAGACACACGAGGGGTTTCAGAGCACTGGAGAACTGGCGCGACCAGCGGCCAGGAGCAGATCTCAGAGACGGGCGATGAACGTCCCCAGTGTGTGATGGGCGGGGGGGGGGGGGAGGCAGGTGAGGAGTGTGAGAAGAGGTAGACAAGAAAGAAAGGGAAGATGAAGGGGCGGGGAGGTGAGAGGAGCAAGAAGTCTTCGTTTCATTATCTCCAAAACCGGAGAGATATCAATATCTCAATGTACACGGTAGAAACCAGAAGACTGCTATCATAACTCAAGACATGCAGCCACCAGCAGAGTTATCTTGGCCAAACCATTCTCAGGGATATCACTCCATCAGCGATCATTCATTCAATCTTGGTACTTCATAAACGATCTTGCTTCTAAGGGTCCGTGTTCGATCCCCGATGGTTCAAGTGGTTGGTGAACATTACTTGGTTCCGTCCTCCTATCCCAGCTCTTATTCTGTCCTCGTATACAGCTCCTATCCTGTCCTCATATCCATTGTGATATAGTCATACTGGCTGAATGTTTTCTGCGTATAGTTTCCTTCCACCCAGCTATGCTTGCGGTGCTTGAGATTTAGCTCTTGGTTTCTGCCTCTCAAGCCGGAGCTGTATATGTTTGGTCATATCTTCGGACTCTGTGAATGGTGTAGGCTGTCTCCACCACTTTTGTTATTCCACTTCTCTGACACTAATGATGACGATGGTGATGATGTTGGTGATGCTGTGATGGTGATGGTGGTATAGTGGTGTCGTTGTGGTGATGTAGGACTAAGATAGGTAGCATCGTAGGGCCTGGAGGGCCATTATTGATCAGTGAAGGAGGCCTAGCTAGCTACGGAGGCTGGCACAGGCCTATAGGCGCTCCTCCCCCTCCCCAACAACTCTTGCCTCACACTCCTCCACTCTTCCTCACGCACACACTCCTGCCACTAGATTCATCTCTCATTCACTGATCATAACAAACCAAGAACCACTTTCTCATTCCTCAGTCTCTCTCTTTCTCTCTCTCCCTCCCTTCCATCTTGTCCTCCCCATCATACTCCTGGTTCTCTCCCCACCTGCTTCCCTTCTCCCCTCTAATATACCCGGAAATTAGGAAAACAGAATGAATATTACAACTAATTCCTTAGGAAAAAATACAGATAAATCAAACCAATATTAAAACGTGTGTAAATTAAAAACCTGACATTATTTTTTCCGAGCAAAAGTGAAATTAATAGTTCAGAAAAGTTTTTTTTAGGGGGGTGGGGAGGGTGCGAGATGATGGGCCTCAAACTCCCGCCACCCAACGTCTGACAAACTACCTTATAGACAACTGGCTTAATTAACCACAGTGAATTAGGAACCTTTGACGATGGAAACACCCGTAAATTTCATTCTTTGACAAATTTTGCAGCATTTAATTTCAGCCCGCCCAACACTGCATTATTTTTGTGAACTTTTGCACAGAAAGTAGAGTCCGCAAACTGCCTCTATAATTCTGGCAAAATTGGCACGTAGAGTGACACTAATCCCGTGTGCATCCAATCAGAAAATTGGCGGGAAAATGACAGGTGACGGTCGCCCGCCGTTGTCACATTTACTTTTCCCGTTAATAATCGAATTTGGCGACCCCGACCTCATCATCGGTCGGCGGTCCGTCACTCAGTCCCCAGGAGCCTGTATCAGTCCCCCAGGAGACTCTGCAAGTCCCCAGGAGACTCTGCAAGTCCCCCAGGAGCCTGTATCAGTCCCCCAGGAGCCTGTATCAGTCCCCGAGGAGCCTGTATCAGTCCCCCAGGAGCCTGTATCAGTCCCCCAGGAGCCTGTATCAGTCCCCCAGGAGCCTGTATCAGTCCCCCAGGAGCCTGTATCAGTCCCCCAGGAGCCTGTATCAGTCCCCCAGGAGCCTGTATCAGTCCCCCAGGAGCCTGTATCAGTCCCCCAGGAGCCTGTATCAGTCCCCCAGGAGCCTGTATCAGTCCCCCAGGAGCCTGTATCAGTCCCCCAGGAGCCTGTATCAGTCCCCCAGGAGCCTGTATCAGTCCCCCAGGAGCCTGTATCAGTCCCCCAGGAGCCTGTATCAGTCCCCCAGGAGCCTGTATCAGTCCCCCAGGAGCCTGTATCAGTCCCCCAGGAGCCTGTACCAGTTCCCCAGGAGCCTGTACCAGTCCCCCAGGAGCCTGTACCAGTCCCCCAGGAACCTCCACGAGTTCTCAAGAGCCTTTACGACTCCCCAGGAGCCTCTACGAGTCTCCAAGAATCCCCTGTAACCTCAATAACCCTCCCCCCCTCCCCAACATCCATTACTTCTAATGATATATTTTGCTTAGCAAGGAATGAGAATGCGCAGCATCCAGCAGTTATCTCGGGGAACAGTGAGAGAAGAATGAACTCTCTCCTTATACTCCACAAGTTGTGTTGCAATAACTTGGGTCTGGGCGTGTCGGGATGTCAGTGAGGCGTGTCTGGGCTGGAGGCGAGTGAGGCTGGCTGTTACAGGGCTGAGTATCAGGGGTGGGTGTTAGGTCACAGTCTCAGGGATAAGGTGAATGTCAGTTTGTCTGGAAAATACTACTGGACATAAGTGGCTTCGCCTGCACGAAAAATTTGAACCCTTAAATGACCACAATACAAGACATTTTCATTTCAAAGATCTTAAATTTATTTTTTCGTGGTGAGAGGCCATGTTTGGAGTTCTTTGGTGGCTCTGACGTCACTTCCGCGGTGGCGACCATGTTTAGAGTCAAATGTGTGCCCCCACCACATGTGGGGCACACACATGTGTGCCCCACACACTCCTGCGTTCCCCCCCACACATATGCGTGTCCTACACACCTGCGTGTCCGCCCACACATCTACACCACACAGGGCACAGCAAACACGGGAAAAAAGGAGAGGAAAAGGAATTGGGAAGCAATGCATTATTCATATTTCGTTGACGGGTGTTCTCAGATGTGTCTGTGGGAGCTGGGTGTTCCCACTTTCTTCCCCTCCCTACCCACACTTTCCCCTTCCCCTCCCTACCCACACCCTCCCCAACCCACGCACCCACAACACCTTCTCCTCCCTACCCACACCGTTCAATTCTCACCCACATCCTTCCCTCTCCACCACATCTGAAAAAAAGTTGCTTGACAGTTGAGAGGCGGACCAAAGAGCCAGAGCTCAACCCCCGCAAGCACCACTAGGTGAGTACATCTCTGGTCGGTGGATCACTGACCTCAGCATCCCTGGCCATCTCCTCCTCGGGGATCTGAGCTGCTCCTCATCTCCCGACGTCCTCCCAACATAGTCATCTTGCCTCAGCATCTCTGTCTTCTCGGGTCATTTGCTTTATTAATGATGATCTTATCACGTCTTGCAATTTTTCTCGTGTCCTCGTTATTCTCGGCTCCTTCGGCTCCTCCTCCACCGTCAACACCTGATAACATCTTAAGGAAGTTGAGGCTCAGCGGGGCGCCTCACGGGGGTATATGTATTTCCGCCCTCAAGGATGGTTCTCGGGGTCAGTAGTAATCAACTATCGACCATCCAGGAAGTGGAGGGTTGACCCAATCTATCCACGAAAGATTAAATGTCCTTCAGTGAGGCAGTTCTTCAGAATTTTGGCCAATGTTGAGGACGCTTCGTGTAGAGGGCGAGGGGCAAGCAACTGGACGCTCCTGGTGATGTGCTACTCTCCCGAACCTTGCCATGGTCGCATCATTAATTACACCAACAAACTTCAACTCATTTCTTCGTGATTCTAAGTTATATAGGTTTTTCGCAGAAAGATTTTCGTGACGGAGGCCATATAGCTACCTGGTTGTGCGGCGCATGCGTCAAGCAAGGGCTGCCTGCGGAGGCAATTATGCTCCAGGTAAATATAGGAGGAGCGTTGCCTCGGCCTGAGTCTTGGCTGGCTTGGCTGAGTCAACTCCCTCGCTCACTCCCACCACAAACACACCATGGATAACAACACACACACTAGGGACAACTACGCAAACCAGAAAGTACCAAACACACACACAAGCAAAGCAAACATGGCATCAGCAATGAAAATAACAGAGGTGTATTATGAGAACCTTCAAATTCGACGATTCTACCACAATGCTTTTACTATTCAAATCACTTGTACTGCTTGAACCTTGAGTACTGCTTGGTACCCACTTTCTCCTTCAGAGCAGGAGATGGCTGAAATAGAGGGAATAGAGAACATATACGGCACGTATAGACACGATGGAGTACCTAAACTACTGGGACTGTCTCAAAACTAAAAAAAAATGTACTCTATAGCAAGCAGACACGAGAAATATCACATAATATATACATGAAAGATAGTGGAAGGCCAGGTCCAAAATTTGCACAGTAAAATAACAACATACTCAAGCGAACGAAATGTTAGGAAATGCAGAATAGAGCCAGTAAAAAGCAGAGGTGTCATAGACACAACCAGAGAACACCGTATGAACATCAGAGGTCCACGGCTCTTCAATATCCTCCCAATAAAAATAAAATATATTGCCGGAGTTAGACAGGTTCCTGCAAGAAGTGCCGGACCAACCGAGTTGTAGAGGACATGTGGGCCTGCGGGCCACTTCAAGCAACAACCTGTTGGACAAAGATAACACGTTAATCCTGGCTAGGAGAATATCAGAACTCCCAGAACCCACTCCAGGTATACACCAGGGACCACCACACGCACCAGAAACCACCAAATACTACACGCACCGGATACCACCAATCACACCAGGGAACCCTCAAACACACTGAACTACCACGCATACACACCAGAGACCACCACAAACACCAGAGACAACAACCAAGTGGTCACAAGAACACTACACGTCCAACTCCCTTCCTCCCTGGGTTCTCTGTGGAAATACCAGCAAGGCCCGTTTCCTGCCCAGGTGAACCTGGAATAATAAATGTCCATGCTGAGCCGTGCTGCAGAGGCTTCAAACAGCAACCAACTGCCGTGCTGCAGGGGCTTTAAACAGCACCTTGTTACCGGACCGACTCCGGGAAGGACCTGGTCTAAACAAAGAACACGGACCCTCTCTCCCTCGGGGAAACCCACCCAAGGCAAAGAGAGTGTACGAACTCTCATGTGATCTGAGGGAGGAACAAGGAAAGAGGTTTGTCTTTTTGGAGTTTCGTGATTCTCATCGATTTCCTTCTCTCAGTGTCTAGGGATTTGCCGCTGGAGGGGGACGGGGCACCTCTTCCCGCCTCGACCTGACAGGAAGATAGACGGGGAAAAAGACAGCTTTCCCGGTGAATGGTATCTTTCACCGGGAAGACTATGGACTACGCTGGCTTTCTAATTTGTCTAGTTTATCTGGTCGACGAACTAGACTATTTTATATAGTGGCCGATAGGAGTCTGTCACTGGTCGACTTAACTAAGCTTATTCTATCACCCAAGCCGAAACACTTCATAAATGAATTAGTATTCTGTACTCCTTATTGAGTAAGAGTTTACCCAGGTGGATAATCCTCCTTGTGGGTCTGAATAGAAGCTAAATAGTCGCATTACTGTTGTCAATAGGATACTCCAGCTGGTCGAACATGAACAGGAGCGGCCGACGCAGGAGGTGATTGATGAGTGGCGCGCCACGTCTGTCAACCAAGGAGGGTTCTGGCGGGAAAACTCCAATCCAAGGGGCAGCAGTCAGGCGGGAAAAGTCTCGAGGCCGCCACCAAGTCACTGCAAAGATTCCATTTTTGTTCCTTGTATTACTATTTATTTATTTATTTTGGAGTTGTTTATGTGGTATCTTTTTTGTCTACCGTAGCATGTAACTTTGTCTTTCGTAGCACATATCTTTTGGTATATCGCAGCATGTATCATTTTCTGTCTACCGAAACACGTATTTTCTGTCTACTGTAGCTCGGTCTAAGATAATATTATTCCAATGTCACATGGGCAATCAAGTTATTGCTACTGGCACTGATGATGCCAAGTTTCTTCAACATACAAGAATGTCTTCCATGTATTTCTTGACGGGCGGGGTATGGGGCGAGGGGGCATAATCAAGGCCCATTCACTGCATGATCGAGGGCCCATGGCAGCATCGAGGGCCCATGACATGATCGAGGGCTCCTATACGATTCTAACATAACAATTAAAACGGGCCTAAATAAATTTATCATTAACTTATCGGACATGGCACAAAATAACAGCACGAAGCACTTAACAGCATGACATTACAACTATTTACTTCTCCGGCAATTAACGAGGCTCCAGGTGCACACATTACGATGCCCAAGCCTAGGTAATGCAATTATCTCTAATAGTCAAACAGACACCCCCCAACGTAACCAGAAGATCTTTGAAGCAGGAAAGGGCTCGAACCAGCGTCATTGGTCACCACAGACGCTCGCCTTAATCCATGGACCAACCAGCTTGTCCTCATAAACAAAGGTCAAAGTCCATTCCATGTATCTGCCAAACCTCCTGTTTATGAATGAAAAACGGTTTACACACGACTCGCAACTGATGACGTCTGAACACTTCCTGAACAAGTGCTTCGCTGACGACTTTTGTTCGAACCACAAGGCTGTAAATGCTTCACCCACGTACTACAAATAATCACCAACGGAACCTAAACACCTAACCTAACCAATGCATAAATCGCGGGCCTACGTGCGCGGGCATCTGTGCTCGCCTTGCAATCTGTGACTTTCACAGTCAATGAAATTCAATAGAATTCCTGGTTACTTTAATTACATTTCTTCACGGAGCTGCGGTTAGCGCTGGAGCCACGTATTTTCGTGGCCTGGGGGTCAAGTCCTACAGAATATTGAAACAATTGCTATTTTACATTTTGTGAGCCGAGCCATAAATGTAAACTTACATTGTTAGTACAACATAATAATGTTTCAAATATAGAAAGACCCGGTTGGCAGCAGCCTCCGGTAAGCCCTCAGTGCCAGGCTTCTAACATTACTGTCAATGTTTATCAATAAAACAAGCGCGAGTTTGAACACCGTGTTGAGTGCTTGTAGAATACAAGCACACAAACACAACATACATAAAACATATATTTCATATACCGTTTGGAGCGTTTAATATTAAATGCCTTTAAAACAGATGTGCATAATGTGTCCTGCAGCCGCTGGCGCGCGAGGACTACTCAGCCACGGTGACGCAACCCTTCTCTCATCTATTGCGTTGCATTCTTTACGGAATCGACCAATCCGGTAAAATTGCGACGTACTGCCAACAATTAACACGTCAATATTGACGTCATACATCGTCTTCGACAGGTTAGGTGGGTTGCTTAGGTTCGTACATTTTGGGCTAGGCAAAACGGTTGCATATTTTGTGGAGCGGCAAATGTGGAGTGAGGAGCGGAGGCCCAGGCTTCCTGGCTGGTGGTCTGATCAAGCAGACTGTTGGACGCAGCTGCTCGCAGCCTGACGTATGAATCACAGCCTGGTTAATCAGGTACCCTTCACAAGTGTTTGTATCGGC